CAATGTGGTCGGTAGCTGACATGGAGTCTGAGCTGGTGTCTGCAAGACAGCTCTTGCAGGCGCGGCCAGGCCATGAGCCTTTGATGCATGGGCTGGGCAGCGCCCTCAATGGCAAGCTTGAGGCCATGATTGTCGGGCCCTCCCAACTTGTTCAGTTGTATGACTTGGTCAAGGGCAGTGGCCTACCCGATGCCATGAAGAATCCCATGCTGCACATCTTGGATGAGAAGAGCATGGGGAAGGCTAGTGGCCCATGTAAGGTTACAGCAGTGCCACAGCAGGTGGACTGGATCAACCACTATCTGACTGCAGGGGAGCATGAGAAGCTTGGGCAGTGCAGCCCTTATGAGGGTGCCCATGTAGTGTGCAAGAGGCTGAGGCTGATGGGAGTCAAGAGCTTGAAAGAGTCTTCCAAGAAGGTTGTGACAGCTTTGCTCATTTCTTGTGAGCTGGCAAGAGGAGGTGCTAGGCCTAGCCATGAAAGCATTTACCTTCTCAGCCGTTCTGAGCCAGCATGTGGGCCATTGCTTTCTGACATGTGCCACTGCCGCTCCACCTGGGGCTGCAGCCTTGCAATGCTATCCGGCAGACCCTTTCCAGCTACCCGAAGCCCACTTGCAGGCTTCATATGGTACTGACAAGCCTGTGGCCAAAGCTTACCCGGAGATGGCAAACCTTGTGCAGTACCATGTGCCTGTTAGGTCTACTTCTGCCAAGGTGAGAGGTGCCAAGGTTGAGGCCCAGCAGAACCAAGCAACGAAGAAGCAGGAGGCTTTGCCCATGGCGACAGCTGCTCCTCAGCTTTGGCAAGTGGCAGCTCAGGACATGCTGCAGGGCATGCTTGCAAGCTTCATGCAGCAAAGCAAGGATGTCTTGAATGGTGGCACCTGCAACCTCCAGTTTTTCAGTTTTTGACAAAGAGCACCGGTAGTTTGCCCTTGGTGCCATCAAGAAGGAATGTGCTTGATGACCAAGAGATGCCTGCAAAGCAAGAGCACGCCCCAGCTGTTCCTGAGGACAAGCAGCCAGGAGCCAGTGCTGAGCCGGAGGATAAGGCTGAGGAAGCACCAAAGGAAGAGAAGTCTTTAGAGGACTGGGAGATGACTGCTTTCCAGTCCATCCAGGCAAAGAAGCAGAGGAAGAAAGGTGAGCCTCCTTCAAGCCAGAACAAGAAGGTTGGCAAGAACAAAAGCCTCATGAAGAGGCCAGCTGCAGTCATGAAAAGACCAGCGGCAAGAGTCCCGACAGCTGGCTCCAGTGCCGCGGGGCCACCTTCAGCCTCTGGCTCATGGGGATGCATCCGGTGCAGGGGAAACGTCAACGGATGCAAAGCATGCAGGAAGCCAGGCTTTTCTGGCAGAAAGTTCTACAGCAGAGGTGAGTGGAAGGAATGGGCCGCAGCCAATGGCAAAAAGTGAGCTGCATGCGTGCAGCTGTACAAAGCTGCTCAGGGTGCCCTGCCTGCAAAGCATTGCTTTGCCATGCGCAGGCTCAATCTATTTGCGCCAGAACAAGATGGCACGAAGGATGTCTGCCAGCCTTGAAAGAGCTTCATGAAGTTGTTTTCAGATGCCAGCTTTGGTGAGTGCGCATTGTCAGGCAACTATCATCTGTTTCATCTTCAACACATGCAGCTACTTTCAGTTTGTGTGGATGACACCGAATGTCTCTAGCTTCTTGAAGAAGATGCATGTTCCGCTCAGAGCAACAACTTTTGCAAGACCCGCCAAACTTGCGTCATCTTTTCACTGGGGTTCACGCGCCTCCGATAACATAAGCCTTTTCAGGCTTCATGGGGGGGGAGCAGCATTGAGTGTGGTTGTGCGTGTTTCCTGTGTGTTTGTGTGTTGCCAGCATGTTGTGCTCTCAGCCTTGTCAGGCTTCTCAGATGACCAAGCTGCGCCAGCATGTTGCAAAGAGAGTGATGCTCCTATTCAAGCTCAAGCCTTGGTCCCCACAAAGCAATGTTTGATGGTGGGGGCATGGCAAGAAGGCTGGGCTGGCTGCCTGAGAACCCACACTGGTGGCAGCGACATGGCAGACTGAGCTGGGAGGTGTATGAAAATGAATTGTATTTCTGCATTGTCTACAGTTCTGGCTGGTGTGAGTGGCAGCTTGGCTGGCCAGTTCTGGTGGTTTTAGCATTTTGTGACTTTCTAGATTGGTGGAAGCGGTGCGCTTGGTGGCAGCATTGCATCTGAGGATCAAAGGGGAAAACATGCTGGCCAAGCAAGGCATTGCTGACAGGGCAGTGCAGCACGAGCTATTGGGCCAAGTTCGTAGATGAAGACAGCACGTGCACCTGCACGAACTAAGGCGGGCGAGACCGCGCAGCAAGCCAAAGAAAGCTTGCTTGCCCTTTAGATTTGCCCATGGCAGAGAAAAGTTCCCAGTTGCAGCCATCAGCTTTGAGGCAGCACTCAGCCTTTTCAGGCTTGTCACCATTTAGCTTCTTCAGGCTTTTCAGGTCTGTATACCTTTCATGTGTTGCAGCACAAAATAGGCTTAAGCTATTCAGCACTTGACACGTTTCTGCACTTGACCTTTGCAGGCTACTGCCACAGCAACAGGTTGCAATGGTCGATGCCTGTGCTGCCATGGGCAGCCAGCCAGTCTTTGCATTGTTGAATTCTCATTATGGTGTGAGGCACAAGCAGATTAGCCTAGCAAGGCTTGCTCTCAAACTTCCTGCAAGGAAAAAGCACATCAGCCAGACGTTGACCGGAATAGGCTTTTGAGCGCAGGAACAGCTTTGAGGTCAGCATCTGGAAGGCTGTGGCCAAGATGGCTGCCGTGCTGCAGCTGCACATGCTCAGTTTTACAAGAAGCAAGCAGCCCCTGCTCAAAACATGACACTTATACAGCAAAGACAGCAAGTAGTCCCTTCCAACCGTGGGCCCGCGTATTAGCATGCTGGCAAAACATGCTTCCATCCCACATGACAGGGCTCAGCCAAAGAGCAGCAAGCCATGGATCGTGCTGCTACAAAGCCAAAGGCCCGCTTGGCAGCCCAAAGTGGCAGGGAAGCCAAGCTGCAAAGGCTAAACTCCGTGAGGAGAGATTGTCCATATGCAAGCAAAAGTGCCCTGCAGGCCATCTTGTCCAACGTCAAAACAACTGGCCTTCCTGATTTAATGTCTTCAAAGAATATGACGGAGGCAACGAGGGCCCAGCTCTGCAAGAACAATCTGTATGGGCCCTTGATGCAGCAAGTGCATGCAGTGGGCACCTCTGGCGAGACAGTGCAGTTGTGGCTGGTCAATGGGCTTTCCTTACTGGCAGCATCATTTGCTCAAGGCGGGTCTTGGGCTTCCATGCTTCAGACCACGCATGGAAGCAACCCAAGCTCCCATACCAGGCCGTGGGACTTGGTCTTATACGCAGATGAAGTTGTCCCAGGCAATTGCATAGCTCACAGACTCGCTTCTACTCTGCAACCAGCATGGAGCTGTTCTTGTTTTTCGTGTTGTTGAGCCACAGGGTGCAGCCAATGTTGTAGGGGTGCTTTATGCTTTCTTGCTGGGAGGGCTATCAAGGAGAGGAAAGCTTGGGTGATATATGGCTCATTCCTTCAGCTGAAGCAGCTCCTGGCCTCAGAAGACAACTGGTTCTTACTGGGGTGTGTGAGGTCTTCTACTGCCCACACTGTGCAGGCTAACATGAGCCAAATCATGGCACTGGTTCTTCAGCAGTTTTTCTGTAAAGAAATTGCCCAGCCACGCCTTGGCCTCCTGTTGAAGCATGAGTCTGGAGAGAGCTGCCAGAACATCAGGCTGTTTTTCAAATTCGGAATGTTCCTGGCTGATGGCAGTGCAATGAAGTACATATACAGCTGCAAAGGAGATTCAGGAAGCAAATTTTGCGTGATGTGCCGAAATGTCAGAGCACCTCTTCAAGAGGAACTTGAGGATGAGAATGACATGCTCGGGTCTGATGTGTGTACCCTTTCACAATGTCAGCTTGCAACAAACCAGGAAGTGCTACAGGCTTACCAGAGGTGTGCTGCCAACCAGACGGCCATGAGCAAGAGAGCATTTGATGACTGGCAGCAGGCGTGTGGAGTCACACACAACCAGCATTCCCTTTTTTTGTGCAAACAGCTGTTGGACCAGAACGTCTTGCAGCCAATCAGCCAGTGGTGCCACGACTGGATGCACGCAATGGCTTCACAGGGGGTTATGCAAGTAATGATATACCTGCTGTGTGCAACACTGGGTTGGGAAAGCATGGAGACTTACTTGAAGCTGTGGACCTTGCCGGCTACTTGGCAAAAGGCTGGCTCCTTGCCTGAGCTCTTTTCAAGCAAGAAGGTCAAAAGCTACAAGGAAGCCAAGAAGTTCAAGTGCAGCGCGTCAGAAACACTGAGCTTATGCCCTCTTCTTGCTTTTTTGGCCGCGCATGTGTTCGTGCCCAAGGGCAGCCATGTGCTGGAATGCCAAGCATTCCTCAGCATGAATCGGGTCTTGGAGCTACTACAAGCTTCTGACA